CTTCCTTTCTTTCTTTCTCTCTCTCTCTCTCTTTCTCTCTCTCTTTCTTTCTTTCTAAATATATCTTTATTTATTTCTGAGAGAGGAAGGGAGAGGGAGAGAGAGAGAGAGAAACATCAATGATGAGAGAGTCATTGATCGGCTGCCTCCTGCACGCCCCTGACTGGGGATCGGCCCGCAACTTGGGCATGNCCTTCCTTCCTTCCTTCCTTCCTTCCTTCCTTCCTTTCTTCCTTCCTTCCTTCCTTCCTTCCTTCCTTCCTTCCTTCCTTCCTTTCTTTCTTTCTCTCTCTCTCTCTCTTTCTCTCTCTCTTTCTTTCTTTCTAAATATATCTTTATTTATTTCTGAGAGAGGAAGGGAGAGGGAGAGAGAGAGAGAGAAACATCAATGATGAGAGAGTCATTGATCGGCTGCCTCCTGCACGCCCCTGACTGGGGATCGGCCTGCAACTTGGGCATGTGCCCTGACCAGGAACTGAACCTTGATCTCCTGGATCCTAGGCTGACGCTCAACTGCTGAGCCGCGCCCAGCTGGGCTGTTTTTCTTTTCCGTACTGTCTTTTAATTCTGTGGCAATCTATCAGCCCAGCCAGTTCCAGTGCTCAGGAGCTACACATGCCTGGTGGGACAGCTGTGAGAGTGTCTCCCATGAGGTGGTCAGAAGGAACTGGATTCCATTTAAAGGGCAGGTGACTGAGGCAGAACCTGTTTAGTTGCCAAGGCCACTCAGGCTGCGGAAGGCTCTGCATCCTCTCAGATGTGGGGGCAGAGTGGCAGGGTGACTGAGCCTCGGGGTCCTGCCTGGCCTGGAAGCTGTGCTTTGAACTTGAGCTTGCCTGGAGCACTCAGATCTGGGCCCTTCCTGGGGGTTCTGACCCAGTGTAAGATGAGATGACTCCCTACAGGGCCAAGCCCCCACGGCCACACAAAAGTGCCACGGGGCAGCCCCTGTCCTCGCCTAGGAAGCCCACCTGCCTCTCTTGTCTACAGAAGCTGCGCCAGGACATCCTGCTCATGAAGCCATACTTCATCACTTGTAAGGAGGCCATGGAAGCGCGTCTGCTCCTGCAGGTCAGATTACCCACCCGCAGAGGGGGGAGGGCAGGTGAGGAACAGACAGATGAGGACATGTCATGCTCAGGTCTTCTTCAGAAGGTTGCATAGTTTGTGTCTGTTGTGCCTTTAGCAGAGGGTCTTCCACACTGTCATAAGCAAACAGGCATTCTACCCAAAAAGTGTGCTCTGATTACATCAGTGTGGGGGACACTGAGAGAAGCAGGCATCGTCCCTGCAGCCTCTACGTGAATCTCCCTAGTGTAGACCAGGTGCAGGCCTGCCCAGGCAGGGTCGACCACAAAGCACACTTTTCAAGGCTTACCTATGTATTCGGTCAACATTCACTGAGTGCCTGCTGTAGGCATACACTGTTGTAGTCCTGGGGAGCAGTGAATGAAACAAGATCCTTGCCCTCATCTCAGAGGGTGCCCTTTAGGTGGAAGACACGGGGTTGGTGAGGTCTGTGGACAGGATGAGGCAGAGAAGGGGGTGGAAATGTTGGGGTCAAGACTGGGAGAAGTGCCATGTGCCTGGCAGAGCTGGGGTGTACCTGGTGCGTCGGCAGTAGCAAGGTGGCCATTGTGGCTAGAGGGGCTAAAGTCTGTTTCTTCCATGAGCACCCAGGGATTGGGCGGGGGGAGGGCCCCCTCCCTGGGCTGGGAGTCACGGCTGCTGGACTCATAGCTCCAAGACCGGCAGCATTTTGTGGAGAACGATGAGATGTACTCAGTCCAGGACCTGTTGGATGCACACACGGGCCGCCTGGGCTGCTCGCTCACCGAGACCCACACACTCTTTGCCAAGCACATCAAGCTGGATTGTGAGGTGGGTGCTCCACTGTGGACCAGGCATCTCTCCTCACCCAACCCCAGGGTGGGGAGGGTGATGTGTCCCAGCAGCAGCTCTCTCTGGAGCAGCACTGACTTGCCCCCACCCCCACCCTCTAGCGGTGCCAGGCCAAGGGTTTCGTATGTGAGCTCTGCAGAGAGGGTGACGTGCTCTTCCCCTTCGACAGCCACACATCCGTGTGCAGTGACTGCTCCGCCGTCTTCCACAGGTTGGTGTGGCCCCGATCCCACCCTCAGGCCACAGGGAGAGGGATGGGGAGGAAGATGTTTGGGGCTTGGTCTTTGCTGCCTGATTTTCAAAGCCCTTTGCCTTGATCCTGAGATAGAGAGTTAGGCTCTTATGTGTGTGACTAAATTGCAAGTTCCACTGGGACAAGCACCTGTGGGGCTGCAGAGGGCCCTAGGTGTGAGCCCCACATCTGACCTGCTTCCCTTATCCCCAGGACTGAGGTTGGCCTCTCAGGGTTAGCGTAGGCCAGAGGTTCCTAAACCTTCTAGTTCCTGGCACTTCTAATGTACAAATGATTGTTTTCAAACTTTTCTAGGCTAAAAGAAATACCTAACATTTTGTTAGTAAGTATTTAGGTTAAACAACTTAAGCATTTATGAACTAAAGACTTCCTGAGTGTTTGGAAAAATAATACACATAAATTGGAAGAAAATATTTTGTTTAATAAGCACAATTACTAATAATATATGTCCACCTGCTGGGCCCTGCACAACTTGTCACAGTGGCCTCAGATGGGACAGTCCCTCACCCCATTTCTGCTCACACTGGTTGTTGCCTGCTACTTGCTGTTGGTCATAGCAGCTGATGTCATAGCTTTGCAGAGCTGGGATTGCTGTCACAGAAAGGGCTAATGCTGAAGCTGTGAACTCCCTTGAGTTAACAGTTTGCATGGTGTGTGACAGATGTCAAACACTGCTGTGCCTTCAGAAATTTAGCCCATGGGCCCCTGTGCCTCCACAGTGCCCTGGGGGCAGAGTGCACAGTGGTGATGGGGCAGGTAGGGTCGAGTCACTAGGAGATCTGAGCAGAACTGTCCTTGTCAGATGGCAATAGGTGCCCAATCACAGGCCCAGCAGGCACATGTGGGTACAGACCCTGCTGTGCCCTTTGGGAAAAACTGTGCCTCAGTTTCCCCAACTGTAGAGGGGGCTATTGGGGCCTGAATTAGAAAGCTTGATAAGACTCACTGCTAGCATTTTATATGCAGAGTCCCTGCCCTGCCCCCAGGGTCTGACCCTGCCTGCCTGTCGCCATCCCTAGGGACTGCTACTACGACAACTCCACCACATGTCCCAAGTGTGCCCGGCTCACCTTGAGGAAGCAGTCGCTCTTCCAGGAGCCTGGCCCTGATGTGGATGCCTAGTGCCATGGGCACCCCACCCGGGCCTGCTTGGAGCCCACCCTACCAGTCAATGCCAAAGTCAAGGTGTTTCTTGTGCTCTGGAGATCCCTAGGGTGCAGCCCCTGAACCTCTCCCCATGCTGGGCCAGAGGGTGTAAGCACTGCAAGGACCATGAGCCTCCGGTGCTTGCTGTGACTCAGGGCGGAGCCTGGCTGTTTCCTGGGTGTGCTGCTTCGAGGGCCAGAATTGCCCCCCCCACTACACAGCTCCATGGGCAGGGGAGTGAGGGAGGGCTTCTCGTCTTCCCCATGGCGAAGAGCCCCCCACACCCTTGAGGCCAAGGCTGCTGGGTCTTGGCTACCCTGAAAACCCTGGAGGGCTTCAGGGGAGTGGCTGACAAGACCAGAGGATGCCTGCTGCACACACCCAGCTTTGGCCTGAGATTTATCTGTAGTGGATGGTTTGTGATCTACCTGGAGGCTCCCATCCCCCCAGCCACAGCTCTTCACTGGGGGAGCTGCACCTGACCTCAACATTGGCAGGGATGCTTCCTGCATCAGAGACCCTGCCTTTGAGGGGAAGGCCTGTGGTCTTTCCTGCCCTAGACTGTGATTGGCTGTCAGGTACAGGTGGTGGGTGGTGGGCAGGGAACACAGCTACTGGTTCCCCATAACCTTTAGGAAACCCAAAAGGAGAGGCTACAGCCAGCAGAAGGGTCAGCTCAGCTTGCTGGCGGATGAGAGGGGTGCTGAAGACAGCGTCACAGGGTCTCATGGTGGCTCTAGGTGGGCCTCTGCTGTCTGCTCTGACCTGCCTCAGTGTGACAGCAAGAAGCAAACACTGTTGAGGTGGGGTCAATAAGCCCTCTGCCTGCCTCTCTTTCTCTAGGGTTGCAGAGTGTTTAAGGGCAGGTGCCTCAGACCAGCACCTTTCTCACAGCCTCTGATTTCTGTCACGGAAACATAAGCCATTCCTGAGTTCATGTGTTACAATCAGTGTGTCCAGAGAAAACGTTAGCATGCTGGCATTTGCCGGACAGAGCTGGGTCCTTTTATTTTTTATTTTCTTAGCCCCCTTAATTACCTCCTGCCCCAACACCTCTTCCCCACCTATCCCTTCTGGATGACAAAGTCTCTATACAGAACCACGCGTGGTCTCTCTGAGTCCACAGCACCATGACAAGAACCCACTGAGGAAGCAGTTTGCACGGCCAGCACCTCACAGAGCAGCAGCAAGGGGCACCCAGCTGGAACGATGCTGCAGCTACTGTCTCATTAAATCTATGTTCTCTAGACTCTGCTGTGTGTGGTGAATCAGGGACAAGGCAGGGTTTGTTGACAGGCAAACTAATTACTGGCTCTAGGAAAAGCCCACAACCTGCCCCATCCAATTGGTTCTAATTAATCTGGTTTGGGGAGAAGTAAACACTTTAAAATTTTTTTTATTTAAAAAAATGTTATTAATTTCAGAGAGGGGTCAACAACAGGTCCTCAGCCTGCCCCTCCTCTAGGGTTGCAGAGAGGGAAGGAGAAAGACAGAAACACCAATGATGAGAGCATCGTCGATTGGCTGCCTTCTGCATGCTCCCTACTGGGAATCGAGCCCACAAATAGGCATGTGCCCTGACTGGGAATCTAACCATGACCACCTGGTTCATGGGTTGATCCTCAACTGCTGAGCCACACTGGCTGGGCAGAAGTAAGCATTCTTGATGGGTGGGAAGCTCAGGTGTGGGTGTCAGGTGTAGGCCCAAGTGCTCTGATTCCCTTCAGCCTCCATTCTATGAGATGCAAACGCAGACTATCTCATGGGCTATTTGGGTTCTACGAGGCACTGAGCACAGAGCTGGGCATGCAGAGAATGCTCAGTAGAGAAGCTATGTCTTATTTTTCAGAGTCCTCATGGTGAAAGGATTGTCTCATTGACCCAACATAACAATGAGAAAGTCATAGGTCCAGTGCCTGTACATCTTGCTAGACCACTAGAAGGCCCTCACTGGAACCCAAGGCCAACCCCATCACCCTTGGACTGCAGAAAATCATACATCCCCACTGCAAATTACATCCAAACCTCTGTATATGTACATTTTCTACAGAGATATAATCTACAGATTTGACCAGGACCTCAAAGGGGATATGACCCAGAAAACCTCGGGAATCTGCTCCGTGACTGTGCCTCATCCATATCCAGTTGCAATCTAGATAGGCCGTCAACAACCCTATTCCTAAAGGTTTGAACTGCACCTCAGCTACAAATAACTAAAACTCTACTTTGGATATTAGGGGGAGGATGCAATCTTCCCCCCCTTTCAGGTTATGAAATAGAATTATAACATTTTTATTTTGATAAACTTAGACTCACAAAAACGCTGCAAAAACATTTCCACGCACCTGTCTCCTGGATGCCCAAATGGTAACACCTGCCCTGTTTGCTCCATTCTTTCTCTGAACCATTTGACAGTAAGTTGCAGAGATGATACCACTTTGCCTCCCAGTACTTGTGTGTATTCCTCCCAACCAAAGACATTACCTTACACGGCTTTAGTACAATTATCAGAAGACATCAGGAAGTTAACATTAATACACCACCAGAAAACCTACAACAAACCTTATTTGATTTTGCTATGTAGCTGACATGTCTCTTTAACCTTAAATCTAGGATGCATAACATCCACATTTCAGAGAAGCACAGGCTACTTATTTTGAAGAATGTCCTTCAATGTGGGTTTTTCTGATTGGACTTGGGCTTTGCCCTTTTGGTGGGAACTCTGGAGGTGATGCTGTGTCCTCAGAGCAGCATGTCCTGTTTCTGGAGGTGCTGACTTTAATCCATCTGCTCCTGTGTCCTTTCACCTGTTCCTGTCATTCTTTAGGGACTCATTTCTAGCATAGCAAGATGTCTTGGGCTTATCTTGTCCTTTCCCAGTTCCAGCCCTGAAACCAACCATTTCTCCAAGGAGCCCTAGTACCTTTTAGTGGAAAATGGTGTTTATTTACTTATTTTTGTGTTTTTTAAAGCCTGAGATTAAAAAAAAATTTATTGGTTTTCAAGAGAGGGAGAGAGAAATATCAATTTGTTGTTCACTTACTTATGCATCATTGGTTAATTCTTGTATGTGCTCTGACTGGGGATTGAACCCGCTACCTTGGTGTATTGGGACAGTGCTCTAACCAATTGAGCCACCCAGCCAGGGTGGGAAGGGTGTTTAGAAAACAAGATGTGGTCATTGGGTGTGCTCATTGCTACTGGGCTGTCACTGCTTCTTTGTCCTTTCAACATATGTTGGCCCTTGACCTTGTTTGACACTTTATTCCCCCATAGAAAGGTTTCATTTTGTTTACATTTTTGTATGGCCAAATTGATTAATCTTTTAAAAATTTCATCTGGATTTTGAGTAATAGAAAATCCCCACACCCAGGTCAAAGAGGCAGTCATCCATGTGTATTTGTAGTACTGTATGGTTTCAATTTTTACATTTAGATCCCTCATCTGTTTTTTTCTTATTTATGCTGTGAGGTATGAATCTAACTTTATCTTTTCCCAAATGGTTAACAAGTTGTCCTGCACTATTTACAAAACCTACCTGTATCTATTTCTGAACTTTCTAATTCATTCTACAGTTTTGACTACTAAACTGCTTTAATTACAGACACTTTACAGTGTGTTTTAATGTCTAGAAGGGCTGGTCTCCTCATAGAATTTTTTTTTTTTAAAGAAATGTTTTCCTGAGTATTCTAGCATGCAATTTTTTAAAAAAAATGTTTTTATTGAATTTAGAAAGAGGAGGAGGGAGAGGGAGAGAGAGAGAAACATCAATTGGTTGCCTCCTATACAGTCTGGGACTGAATCTGCCACCTGGGAATATGCCCTGACTAGGCATCGAACCAGTGACCTTTTGGTGCATGGGATGACAGACAACCGAGCCACACAGGCCAGGGCACATGCAATCTTTTAAAAACACACATTTAAATAGAATTTTAATGACAAAATTTCAACTCTTAAATGTCAAAATATCAGAAATAGGGTTTCCAGGGATGTTAAATCTCTGGAAGCAGAGAGACTTGGATAGGCCTCATTCGTTGAGGTCTTGTTGCTTCTGGTTTTACTTTGATTAACTCTTGGTCACACACACTGAAAAACCTAAGACAGTTGCTTTGAGCGCCGCTTTTTCTCATTGTACAATTCCCTGTAGCAGTTTATTGCATCACTGATTGCTCTTGAAACTTTCAGTTTCCACTCATCATTGGGGCTGCCACAGGAAAGGAACTGTAAGCCAGCCTCAAAATGTGAGAAGGCTGCTGAGAGTTCTCCTGTGGTGAGTTGACGCAGAGTAGGTTGAGCATCTTCACTCTCCTCCTCTCTTGCTGGCTCCTGTTCCAGCCGCATCAGCTCCTCATTAGAGAGGGCATCCTCATGGGACTGTAGCAACTGGTCCACGTCAGCTTCCACAACCTCTTCAAAAGCCAGAGTCTTGGCAAGGGTCACAATATTTTGTTGAAGCTGCGTAATGTTATCTGTTTGGGAAACATTCTGGAACTGAACACACTGGGGCCAAATTTTCTTCCACAACACTGTTTATTGTTGCTGGACTGAGTGCCTCCCAAGCTACTGCAATGTTGTCCACAGCATCCACGATGTTGTAGTTTCTCCAAAACTCCCTGATCATAGCTGTATCCTCCCCATCTGTTGCTTCGAGCATGTGCTCAAAAGTCCTTCTCAGGTAATGAGCTTTGAAAGTAGAGGCTACACCTTGACCCATGGGCTGGCTCGAGTCAGCTGTACTGTCATGAAGATATTCCACTCTTACATTATCAGACAGATCACTCAAATTTACTGGGTGGCATGGTGCACTGCCTAGGATGAGCAATGCTTTGTTGGTTAGATTATTTTGGGCACAGTATTTTTCAATGGCAGGGCAAAAAAAGTAGGTGAACCATTCGTGAAAAATGCTCCTGGTTGCCCAGGCCTTTTTGTTTGAGCGCCAAATCACAGGCAAATTGGGCTTGGAGTACCCCTTCAGAGCCTTGGGGTTTTCTGAATGGTACACCAATAAGGGCTTCAACTTAAAGTCCCCAGCTGCGTTGGCACCAAGCAGCAGCATCAAGCGATCTTTGGACAATGTAAACCCTGGCTCAGCTTTTTCTTCCACAGAAATAAACGTTCCTTCAGGCATTCTCTTCCAATAAAGCCCTGTCTCATCTACATTGAAAACTTGCTGGGGGGTGTACTCACCTTCTTCGATGATGCATTTCAGCACTTCTGGGTAGGCGTCCTTGCTGCCAGGAACCGTGTTCCTCTTGAAGTGCGGCAGACGACGGCGCTCCCTGCATCTCACACACCACCCTTGACTTGCATTGAACTTTTCTTTTTGAGAGCTTTCACCTTGTTCGCGCTGTAAGTCATCAAACAAACTCTTAGCCTTCCCCTGAGCCGTGGTGACACTGGGGGCATGTTTCGCTGGCTCTGGTCTTCCAGCCACGCGCGCAGCGGTCGCTCCGTGGTGGGCGGGGCTGCGCCCGACGCGCGTCACCGCGCAGCCGCCGCGCACGCCCTCCCAGGTTTTCTTTATCATCTCGGACTGTTGCCGCTGCAGAGACAGCAAGGTCTAAGGCCTTTGCGACTCGGCTGAGCTTTTCACCCGCTTCAAGTCGTCTTCACACTTCTAATTTTATGTCCAGGGCAATTGTTTTCCGTTCCCTTTTGGCACTCGGCGTGGCCGTTGCATTTAGGGGCCTTTTCCTGGGCATCTTTGCCTCCAAAATGTAATAAAAT